CCCCAAAACCCCAAAACCCCAAAACCCCAAAACCCCAAAACCCCGGTATTTAGTCTGAGAGTTGAACTCTTTGGTGAGTATTAAACTTTAAAACTTGCAGTTAATTATTCTCAAAATAGTTCAATTCTTCTGTGTTCTCTTTGGCCATTTCTCTGAGCTGGAAGGCTTCCCTATTCTTGTCTCTAATATCTCCTTCTTCTGCAAGAATATCTAGATATGGGATCAAGTGGTATAGCTCTTCATCCTCTGGGTCTTCATAGTATGGGATGATAGGGATTCCATTATCAAGTTGGAATCCGAAGGAGTATACTGCGTTATCAACGATGACTAAGTCTCAGAGTTCTCTGTTTTGAACAATTCTTAAATCCTTTATATACACATTATCCTCTGTTTTATATCAGCTATCTCTGTATAGTCTATACTGAATAAGCTCCCCGGTCGGATCTAGGTGGTCTAGTACCACATCAGCATATCATTTGTGGGATGCAGTGAATACTATTACTTGGAAGAGCTCATTCGCTGCTTTGAGGCAGTCAATAGCAAATGGTCTAACGTTAATACCTGCTTCTACTATTTCGCCATCTTCGAACTCTACATCAAGGATCACTTGAGGTCTCTCAAGTTCGATGTCATCTACTCAGTGAATTAAAGTTTCATCCATATCGAAGATGAGGGTTTTCTTGATATTTGGGTTCTTTGGAGGAGGCAAGAACACCATCTTGTCTCTAAGTTCATCTATTGGAGGGAGTCTCACTTTCTTCATATATTGCAACGCTTGTAAACTCTGAAGCATATGGATCTTATGAAGTTCATTTTCCTCCTCCTCTTCATTCTGGTTCTGAGGATTTTCTACAATATTTGGCTTCGCTACTGTTGTCTTGAAGTCATTAGCTCCAACAGTGGATTGAGACATACGGCTACTGTCTTCTCTATCCTCTGCATCAACATCCTCAGTAATTGTAGCATTTCCATCTCTATCTCTGCTTAGCCATTGGTCAAGGATCTGATCTTTTTGATCTGAGTCTTGTCTGACCAAGTCTTCCTTTTTAGGCTCGATGGGCTGGCTTGCTCTCCAGACATCAACCGAGGTCCTATCATCTGATTTAGATTTATTGCTACAGGTCTCTTCAGCATTTTTATAACCATCGGCTTCAGATCTTCTCTGGCTTGAGGTATCCACTGTGAAGGGTGTTGCTTTTGAAACTATCGAGTTAAGATTTTTCTTAGGCTTGACATGAATTTCAGATAGAGCACGCTTCTTATTATCTATCTCAGCAATCCTCTTCATAGCTTCATCCTCGAATGGCTCTTTGTGGGGGTCTTTAGCCTGAGCTGAATTTTTGTCAATCAGGCGATCCATATGTTTCTTCTCATTTTCATAGTTCTTCAATGACTCTCTGTTCTGATTAAGAGTCTTTTCAGTGATCCATTTTTCTTCTTCAAAATTGTAAGGATCATCAGCTGATGGAACAGCATTTTCTTTAAAGATGTCTGAGTTCTTCTGATAACCAAAGAACCCAGTATTCTCGCTATTGTTGGTATATGTGTTCTTGCTCTCTTCGGTTCTTGTGGCAATTCTTGATCTGAATTTAGCAGTGCTCATTGAAGAATCACCGGGGCTTTTCTTTGAGGAACCTCCTACATGAAAAGAATGGCTAAATCTGGTGCTTTGCCTGAGTAGGTTCGAGATCCCTACCGGTAAGAATCTGTCGAGGAGAGCAGCCATTCATTTTGGTGGGGTAATTACCGGAATAACTCTATCGTATTCACCAATTCCTTCATCGACATTTCCCCAGAGCTCGTCTTCCATGCTATCTTCTTTACTAAGTGAAGCAACAAGAGGAGCTGGGTCGGGACTCTGGTTTATCACAGTATTTCTATGGTCAGGTCTACTCATTTCCGGTTCGAATTGTTTAGCTTTTGAGAGAAAAATAGATCTCCTTTTCCAAGCATCCTTATTGGCAAGGTTGACAGAAGATTCAAAGACTTTGTTAATAGGGTCTCTAGCATTTACTAATTTAACTATGCTGCTAATTCTTCTATTTTTCTCCATCTCCATCTGGGAAGCCGAAGCATGGATCGAAAATATCGCTCTCAGGTGCATCTTCTAGTCTAGGATCCCTTTCAGTGTTATTTGTATGGGTTGTCGTTATGGCTGGATGAATATCCATAGTGGTCCTTGTTCTCTTCTACTATAAAACAATTAGTTTAATACTTTGAGTCGTAGAGATTACTATAATGAGTATATCCCATGAAAATGTTAAGGTAGCTACTCGATTAGTGGATTTCAAGGGTAAGAGACTTAAGATATTACAATTTCAATTATTCTTCATAATTTCTAACCTACTAAAACTTACGCTGTTGGCTTATATACTTAGATTTTTGAGCATGATTTAAGTACGCTTCTTTGGGGTCTCCTGCTGAAGAATTCCGATGTATTTTCCTGAGTTTTGCACCTATAGAAGCTTATTAATTTGTGAAACTAAATAAAGCCTCAACCCCAACGTTTTCATTAGTTTCAAAGTTTAATGAATGTATTTCCAGAATAACTGCTTTATGAAATCACCAAAGTTTTGTTGGGCTAGTAAGGTATTGAGAAGGTTTTTGAATACATACCCAAGTTCCTGAGACCTTCTGCAGAGCCATTGCTCTGAGCATCTGTTCCATATTTTGACATTTGAAGTTGGCTTAATTATCTTTATCAATTTAATATACAACATAGGGGTTTTGGGGTTTTGGGGTTTTGGGGTTTGGGGG